TTTTGTTTTGTTTTGTTTGGTACCTTGTGCTTGCAGGGCAGGCAGCAGAACCACTGAGTTAAATCCCCAGCCCTTGTGTTTCATTCTTTAAATAAGATATCCCTAGCGTTATACTATGACTGGCTGCCTACTATGTGCACAAGAAAGATTCCCCTTAGCTCCTTCTGATACTAAGAGAAGTGTGAAGTCATTACTGTTTAAAATGCCTTGCTTGCTTTCTGTTTTTTAAGGAGTGTTGTAGGTTTGTTTTGCCTCCTGAGAAAGTCAGAGCCCTATTGCTGAATGGACAGTTCTTTTCTTGTTGGAAATCTGGCAGAGCCAGTGGCTAGTGGGAGGAAGAATTCTTTTTTGCACTAGTTGGTAAGCAGATGCCATAGCTGGAGAGTGGGGTTTCTCTTTTCTTTGGTCATTGGACAGTTATCAGATGCTGCTGGAACTAGCAGGACAAGTCCACTATTTTTTTTTTTGTACACTTGATCTTAGCCAAAAGGCTGAGAAGCAGATTTTTTTATTTTATTTTATAAATGGAACCAGTCAAGGCCATAACAACAGATAAAGGATATCCTGACATCAGCAGTCTGTTAGAATTCAGCTAAATGCCATACTGCATGTTATCACATAGATAAAAAGAATTTTATGGGTTTATTTAGGATGGAATAACTTTCCTAATACCATATGTCTCCTGTTCTAAACAATCAAGCTGCTATTATGTTGAATCACAATGTGTATGGGGTGGCTTCTCACTTTATGAGATGGGCTTTCTTCTAAAATCATTCCAGTGGTGGGTTTCACTTTTCTTTCTTTTTTTCTTTTTTTTCCTAGATTCATTCTCTGAACCAGAGTCCATGTATGTGTCTTAATTATAATGGCAAGAATACAACTGAATAAAATACAAAATTTTAACAATGGTTGGTTAATTCGTTTCTACTGCGATATTTGAGAGTGGATTTATGCTACACATTAATTTGCACACCAAGAGGCTCTCTCTGTAACTAAATAATTTCTTGAACAAGATCTGCTTCTAAGGGAAGCAGTTTTTTCACATAATCTAAGAAAAGTGACTCTAGGAAACTGCTAAGCCTAATTTGTCCCACCAGAACATCATGCAAAATTGATTTACCCCACCAGTTTAAAATGAAACCTGTTTTCTTATAAATAAAACTATCCAGTTATTTTAACTAATTTTTGCTACATGTATTATAATGATATTTTGTTTGATGAACATTCAATTATTTTTAATCTTCCCCTAAGAAACTGACCTGCGAAGTTGATGTTTGTACTGTCAAGGATGTCCTACTGTTTTTCTCTCAATATGAAGAAAGAATAAGGGAGGAACAACATTATTCTTTATTCTGAATCTATTTAATTCCATTTCAGAGTATATTCAAGGCTGTGCTTTGAACAGGCTATCAAAAAATCAGTGTAAGAATGTGATTTACAAAGTCTTCTGCAATATTTGAAGGAACTTCATTCTTGTCCTGAACTGTCACAGAATGACTGTTAATAACCACCGTGCAAGTATCCATCAGGCCAGGTACTGTTTATGCCTTTCAGAAAATGATTGTTTTTCTTTGAACAAAAACAAATTCTCTAGCAAAACAAAAAGTTTCTAATATCTTAATGTATCTTAATGTGGTAGTTATATTTTTAATAAACTGATTCAACTTTGAACTGCTAAGAAGTATTACGAATATACTGCTAATGTCTTTCATACATAGCTTTCTAAAATACTATTCTTTATTGATTTAATACAAAAATATTGAGCAACCACTTTATTGTATTTCAGTGATTAATATTGTTTGTACTAATCAATTATTCAGTTACTCTAATGGAACTATTTAATAGAGTACCATTTTACGTTTCTCAAAGAAAGCAATCTTAGAATTTCCAATTTAGTCACTATCATGTAAGAAAGTTTTCTTTGTAATTTTCTTGTTTTAGAGCTTCCTCTAAATTTTTTTTAAACTGTTTATATTAGACACAGCATTATTTTTCCTCTTTTTCCCAAATTATTCTGTTATTGCTCCTGTTTAGATGTTCCCCCAAAGCCTCATGCTTTTCCAGAACTGGCTGAATCTACAGTGTGTGATTGATTCATGGTAGGGCTAGAGCCGAAGGCACTGGGATTAAGGGCATGAGTACTACCTGCTCTAAGTAGTCTGAATAAGATAAAAGAGGCAGGAAGAGGTTTTCTCGTTGCCTTTGCTACCTTGTGTGAGCCATTTTGTCTCTCCTCTGTGATGTTTGTTTGCCATCCCTGTCTTGGAGACAGCCATCTATGGACTGAAACCTCTATAAACCGTGAGGCATATAAACCCCTTTCCCTCTAACTTTGAGTGTAGGGTATTTTGTCTCAGCAACAAGAAAAGTAACTAACACATATTCCTAGTCTAACTTGAATACATTGACCATGCAGTAATTTTATACACTGTGGCTTAGATATGGGGGTAGCAGAGTTCTCAGACATGGAGTCCTTCCCTTCTTCCAACAGAAGCAGTCAAGTCTGAGCCCTAAATAGCTGAAGTGGGGGATACAGACATACCATATCATGTAAGACATGCTCTGATGTGCTTATGAAGTACATGGTCCCTTCAAGCACTCTACAAAAGGCAGCAAGGCCTGGCTATCCAGGTAGGATCACAGGGAGTGGTAAAAGGAAAAGCTCTCAGACAGAGCTTTGTTTGATGACTATCTCTGAAACTAACTAACTGCAGTTCAGGACACGTCTCTTCACCTTTCAAAGCCTCAGTTTCCTCATCAGGAGTGCTTATTTCGCTGGATTGTTGAAAAGATGGAATAAGATAATTCATAAAAAGAATGAAGCAGGGGGCCAGGAATTTAGCTCAGTGGTTCCGCCTCCTGCCTAGCAAGCACAAGGTCCAGAGTTCCATCCCTGGTACCAAAAAAAACCCAGAATGGAGCAGGAAAACTGGATATAAGCCTCAATGAATGTTTTTGCTACAGCTGCTGTTGCTGTTGTTTACTCCCCCTCCAGTTTACAGATCTGATTTGGGGCTTCAGTTACCTCTGGATTGCTCATCGCTCACCCTCACTCTTTATACATTTAAGGAGCTCTCCAGCTATTCCCCTTCTTCCTCTCTCTTCTGTATCTTATTTCTCCTCTGGGTCTCCCCATCCTCACACACAATCTCTGGCAGCAGGTTACAGACATTCTTAATTTTAAAACAATGACTTCATCTACTGTATTTAGCTCTAAACTACAGTACTTCCTTAACTCCAACCTAGATATAAAGGTTGATTTTGCTGTTTCAGTTAGGAATACATAGGTAACAGCTGCCCTAAGTTTATAAATGAAGGAATTCAAGCTGTAAATTTAAAAATTTGAAGGGCAAAAAAGAATAAAGCATCCTGGAATGTGAGTGGTATCTGACCATTAACAGTCCTTGAGCTTTCAAGTAAATTCCATATCAAATTTCTAACAACAACAAAGTGTGTATCATGTGAAGGAAAGGGAGACAAAACACTTGATCAACTTCTAACTAAGCAGTCATTTTCCTTTGATGATCTATTTACTGGGTAATTTGACAGATAGTTAAGAATATGGAAATAATTGAACAAGGAATGGTAAGAACAGATACTTAACTCTGTAGTGTATTGGTGATTGTTACAGGGCTGAAACTAGAAATAAAACCACTCAGATAAAACCCAAGAAACAAAAACAAAACCACCGACACGACACACTACTATTGGAAAGACTGTAAAATTTCCTAAATGCTTTTCCCTCAAGTGTGCATATTACTTTCAATTAAACATTTTCAGATATTTATCTCAGTGAACTCCTGGAAAAGCTAAAATTTATTTTTAAGTATTTAAAGCTTCTCAAAATATTATATAAGAGACAGTAGGGTTTCTCCTGTATTAAAATCTTGTTAAAGGAGAAACCTATTGTTTCCTTGCATGACTGATCTGTATCGTATTCTGGTGAAAAGAAGCAAGTATTAGCATGATATTTTTTTTTCTTAAATTCTTTTATTGGGACATTTTAGGTATACAATACATTTACATTTCTCATTGGGAACTTGTACCTGTACATGAATGTATCTTGGTTCTTATTTTCTCCCCATTCCCTGCCCTCTCTTCAGCCCCCCTTCCCTACTTACAAAGACTTTGTTTCCATTTTTTCCATTTCTCATAATTTTTCCTTTCCCTTCTTTCCTTTCCCCTACCCCCCCACTTCCCCTTCCCCTTTGCCCCTTTTCTTCCCATTTCACACTATCCATTGTACCTTTTAGTCCTTATTTACACTTTCAGTTTCTCAGACTAGAGAAACTATTTGGTATTTACACGTGTGGATTTATTTCACTTAAGAGTACCGCCTCAATGTGCATCCATTTAGCTATAAATGTCTCTAGCTTCTCATTCTTTACAGCTGAGTAGTACTCTATCTTATTAAAAAAAACACATCTTCTTGATCCAGTCTCCAGCTGATGGGCATCTGGGCTGCTTCCAAGTTTTAGCTATTACAAACTGTGCTGCTATGAACATGGATGTACATATATCACTGTGGTATGATTCTTTTAATTCTTTGGGGAAGATCCCCAGCAGGGGAATAGCTGGGTCAAATGGGATTTCCAGTCCTGGTTCTCTGAGGTATCTCCATACTGATTGCCACAGTGGAAAGTGTAACAAAATAGGAATGAGAGTGGTTTTGCAGAAGGGAATGTTTACTACCTTTGTATCTCAGAGGTTAAGTATTAGTCTCTGCTTTCAATAAAATGACAATGGCTAGGCTTATTCAATGCAGCTTGCTTAACACTAAAAAAAAACACATAAGCAATAAAATCTCCAAATCTCCATCAGAAATAGTATATGGATTGTACAAGTATTGTGTTTTCTAGTTGTCCAGTACATTGGTGGGGAATTTAGTAATCAAGACTAAGTTCTATGTAAGCCTACGTTTAAAACAACTAGTGGCACTGTTCAAGGTAAGAGAAATACAGAAAGGACGGATGTGTGAACAGCTTTTCACTGTTTATTTGCCACAATTATTTTGATTATACAAACCAGAAAGTGAAGCTGGAGAAAAACTTGAATCCCAGTCATCTGAGAGGCTATCGATTTTTATCCAAAAGACTGGAGCGAAGCCAAAGAAGCTGGGTATATTTCTCATTAACAGGGACCCTGAGTTAAAGTAAAGAAAACGGGGCTGTTGACATGGTTAGTAATCGGTGGAAAATGTGACGTCTGCGTTTGACTGTCATGCAGAACAAAGTTCAAGGCTGTGCCTAAAGAGGAGTCGGCCAGAAGGGTCATCTCGGGGAGAGGGGGAGCTTGGGAGTTGGATGGAAGCGGAGTGGGAGTGGGTTCGGGGGTCGGCACTGATGGGCGAGAGGACCCGCGCCCAGGTGCCGCGATGCAGAGAGGACGCGTCCAGGGGAGGAGGCATCTGACCCTCAAACCCGGTGCGGGCCAGGCGGAGCGCCACTTACTTTCTGTGAGAAAAGCACACTCGCGCCAGTCCTGGCCGCGGACTCCTCCCCCGGGGCCTCCGCTATCTGGGTCAGGTCGCGGCGGGCCTGGCGCCGGACCTTGAGACCCGAGGCCTCTCGGAGTGCTGGACACCCGCAGCTGCCCGCCTGCTCGCAAGGCCGGGTTCCGGGTTTCCTAGGCCGAGAGGCCGGCGCGGCGAACTCAGGTGCGTACCTAGGAGAGGAGGGGGCCACGGGGCTGTCAGGGCCGAGAGTCAGGGGGCGTGCGGAGGGCAGTGGCAGCACTTCCGGCAGAGACTGCACTTCCGGGTCGCTGCGGACTCGGCTGCCGCTCCTGGTGGGTCTCCCAAAGCTAGCGTCCCGGAAGCTACGGCCCGGAGGTCTCGGCTCTTCCAGGCAGGACGCCCCTTCCTGGGGTCGTGGGAGTGGACCCTGTCCCCTTCGGGGGAACTTTCCGGGGACGCACACACAGCTGTCACTGCGGCTCCTGGATCTAATCCTTCTGTCTCGGAAACGATGTGTTTGCTCCCGGTTTTTGTATAGATTTGGATTCTGTAACTATTTTACACAGAAAGAAAGGCCAGATTATTAGTACCAACATTTACAAATAAACCAAACACCAGGGCGCTCTCAGTTTAAATTTTAAATAGGAAAAATGGTTAAAATCTGATGAGATAAGAACATTAGAATTCACTTTGCAAATAAAGGGTTTTCGGGGTTTATAGAGAATCTGTTCAAGTATTCAAGGTCTCAGGGTGACTCCTTTGGAAAACTTAAACCTCTGTAATCCATAATGTTTCTTACCTCTTGATACAAAACTTTTTCATTTATTTTTGAGTTTATGAGTTACATGTTTTTTCCCCTAAGAATCAGCTGATGAATCAAGTGAGTATATATGCTAGATATGTATTATAAGCATTATTACTAATTTGGTGGAGCAAAATTTCATTAAAACTAGGAACATGAAAATGAAATCATTTTTCTTCAAGAAAGCATTATTTCATTTTAATGCTCTAGTTTTCTTTACTCAACACTTTATCCTTTCATTTAAATGATTCTCTGCAAATAACTTTCAATTACAACACATTAATTTTAGATGCTAGTAAGATACTAAAATAATGTTTATCATTTTCTATTATTCCTAATGCCTTAAAATTGAAGTTTGCAACGAATTATTCTTTGTATCTGGTTGTTAAAATATTAGAGTTCTAAAGTCAAATTAGTAAAATTTTTCATTAGTGTTTTTATACCATAAGTATATACTGCTAATATAATTAAAAGGATAAGAACTATAGAAATGACAACTTTTGAAATGATACTGCAGACGAGCATATATTCTGAGTTACTACTTTTGTACCTTACTTTTTAATGTCATTTTTCAAATTATTGAAATAGAAGCACAATTGTTTTACATTGATATAAAGTTCAACATATACTGAGCTATTAGTTTCTAATTGTGGTTATTTAAAACAAATACCAGCTCCGTTGATTCTGTTTTCTTCCTCAATTAACTTTCATAGTTCTGAAGTCATGTTTCGCCTCTGCTCCGTCAGCATTGTCCTTCAAGTCCTTGTTAATGCTTTCTGACCTTCCCCATGCGACCGGAGGATGTCTCCAGAAGTTAGTAACAGGATGTCCGGGTTAACATTTCTGTCTTCCTAATTGGGTGATGGCCTGAGTAAATAATTTGACAGTTGTGTGCCTCAGTTTGCTTATTTGCAAAACAGTAATAGCATTATTATCATTATTTTGATCTGGCTCAAAAGGGTAATTTGGAATTGGTGTAACTCCTACAGTAAAGCTAGGCAAAGTATGACAATTTCTCACGTGTTTAAATCTGGTTCTGTCTCAAGGATGTCTTATTCTCAGATTTTTCACAACTGTTTATTTACTTTTTAAATGAAAAAAAATTTCTAACCAGCCTGTTTCAAGAAGGCTTAGTAGAAATAAGCCAAAGAAAACAATCAGTATAAGAAGATTCCTTTTAATAGACCTCTAGATCAGCATATGGACATCTTGGATTAATTTTTGTCTTTTTTGTGTGTATATGTGTGTGGTGCTGGCATTTAACCCAGTGTGTCAAGCATGCTAAATTTTTGCTCTACCACCTAGCTATGTCCCCAGCCCTAATCATTTTATTGACCAAAGCCAAACAATACCTCAAGATCGTCAAGCTTGATGCATGATTATTAGCTGTGATGCAGAGATAAATCTGTAGGCCTATAATGACTTTTCTTGTGTCTGTTGCATTGTGTGTACACTATATGTTTTGGGAGAATAAAATTAAACAGCTATAATTACAAATTGATCATAATGTACTGCTGTCATGTCTCCTGGATGGGATGGAATGGGAGTGGACAGATAGATTTGTAGTTCCCAGTTATACCAGTTAGGTAAAGGGTTTTATTTTGCCCTCAGTTAAAAACAATTAATCCTTGGGGCTGGGGGTATAGCCCAGAGATAGAGCAGTTGCCCAGCATGCCTGAGACACTGGGTTCTGTTCACCACAAACAAAAACAAATTTTTAATCCCAGGCAAAATACTCAGAGGTCAGGCAGGCCAGATTAAGCACCAAGACTTTTTCCTGGAGTCCTTGGTTTAGGGGAAAGGATTCTTAAAGTTCTTGAAGATAGGAGATATTTCTTGGAAGATCGGTTTACCATTCCTTCTCATTCACACTTCAGCCTGTAATAAAATAGGGCATTCAAACAGGATAATTCCCATGGTGCATGTGGCAGAACCACTGAGGGAGGCATTCTTTTAAAAGCAGGCTTCTCAGAAATAGATTCTTGCTGCATATTCTTTCAGACCTTCTTACATAGGACATTTGAAACAACACATTTAGTTGGCTAGTTAGTGTGTGGGAGAATAGCAATTTGTTAGAATATGTGAAATCATAGGATAAAGGCTATAGGAAGCCACATTTCCTGTATGCAACCTAATTCATAATTTTCATCCTTCCAATATTTCTGCTGTTCTCTTAGCTCTTCCTATCTCCCCTCCCTTAGAGCACAAAGCAATGAAAACTTCAGAAATGTCCACCACAGCATCTACCCTCCTGCCTGAATCCCTGTTCATATAATCTGCCTTTTCTTTTATTACTATGAATGTGTTTTCATCAAAGATCGAAGCTTGTGCATGTGCATTAGAACCTGTCCTTGCCTTCTTAAATTTATGATGTATAATTCACTAGTATTCCTTCTATTTCATCAATTTTTGTTTCTAATGATCTTTTTATTGGCAAACAAAGATACTGTTATTCCTTGATCTTTTGGCATCAATTTTCCATAAGGTTATGACATCATTTATCTTTTATTTCTTTTCTATTTGCCTTTTTTTTTCTCCTTTTCTGCCTCCTTTTGGTCTAAGTGAATGTCTTTAGTGTTCCATTTTAATCTCTACTACTGGTTTATTTGTACATTTATGGGTTTTGTTTTTTTAGTGATAGCTCTAGGGCTTATGATTATGCGTCTTTAAATTGATGTTATGACACTCCATTATAATTAAGGCATTTACAAATAGAGTATATACTTTCATTTGTTCCTTCCCATACTTTGAGTTATTGTTGTCCTACTTTTTACTAATATACATGTTATAAACCCTGTGTGGCATTATTATCATTTTAACTTTAATAAACAATTGTAAGGAAATTTTAAAATGAAAAAATTACTTTTCTATTTACTCCCATGTTTGCTGTACTGGTATTCTTTATCCTTTTTGTATATCCCAAATTTTTGTTATCATTTTCTTTCTGCTTAAAAAACTTCCATTAGAATTTATTATAATACAGGGGCCGGGGATTTAGCTCAGTGGTTCCGCTGCCTGCCTCGCAAACACAAGGTCCTGAGTTCGATCTCCGGTACCAAAAAAAAAAAATTACTTTGGGCCAGGGATTTAGCTCAATGGTTCAGCCACCTGCCTCAAAACCACAAGGTCCTGAGTTCCATCCCTGGTACCAAAAAAAAAAAAAAAAAAGAATTTATTATAGTACATATCTTTTGGTAATGAATTCTCTCGGCTTTTCTTTGTCCAAAAAAACAAAGATCTTAATTTTAACCTTTACTTTTGAAAACTATTTCACTAAGTATATACATGTAAGTTGGCAGTTTCTTTCAGCATTTTAAAGAGGTTATTCCATTGTTTTTTGTACCTGAATTGTTCCTGAAAACATCTTCTGTATTCTTTTCTTTTCTGTGCATATTGTGTCTATTTTCCTGGATATTTTTATGGTATCCTCTTCATCGTGATTTTTATCAGTCCAATAATGTTATGTCTTGGTTTGGCTTTTTTATTTTTCTTGGATTGTGTTGAATTTATGTTTCATCTAACTTGTAAATTTTTTTGATCACCTCCATAGACTCACACACACACACACACACACTTCTTGTTCTTTTTAAACTTCTTGATGTTGCCCCATTTCTGTCTTTTTCCTATTACTTGCATGTGAAATCATTTTTTTGATTGGATGCTGGACATAATTTCTTTATGCTGTTTGAGTTTTGGATTTTTCTACTTGTGTCTTTATTTTTATTTTTAATTTTGGGGTTTTTTTTGAGGCATAGTCTCATTATGTAGTTCAGGCTGGCCTTGAACTGACTAAGTAGCCCAGGCTGGCCTTGAAGTCATGGTGATCCTACTGCCTCAGCCTCCCAACTGCTGATATTACAGGCATGTGCCACCATGGTCAGTTTATACTTTAAATAGTATTAGATTTTCATCTTCGTGGCAATTAAATTATTTGTGAATCAGTTTATTTCTTTAAGTGTTATTTTTAGTCTGTTTTAGGAAAGCCTTAGTAGCCTTAACTCTAAGATTACTGTAGCCTCACTAACAAAGCATTACCCTTCTGGGATATCTGCTGAAACTCTCATGTATTCTATAAGCATTCTTAGAACCTGAATGCTTCCCAGTTCTGTTTAATCTTTAGAAAAATTTAGTTTATAGTTTCCTACTGACTACTTTTTCCTTAGACGTTGTTCTTTGCCTGCCTTGATGGGCTTTCAGTGTGTATTCCTTTTACTAATACAGTGACTCTCTCATCCTCAGTGCTCTGTCGCAGAAATTTTAAGTGCCTAAGTTTCTGTGAACTATGACCTCTGTTGGTTCAGCTCAGGCTGTTTGATTTTTCCCCTCTTTGTGCCATGGTTCAGAAACCAGGTTGAAAAACAAGAGACATCATAGGACTGATTTCTTTCTCTTTTCTCAGCTTCAGAAGTGGCAGAGCTCCAATAATCTAGTGCTTGAGAAAGTTTCAGGAAAAATTAAATTTTAAAAATTACAAATTTAAAAAAATTACAAATTTAATTTCTTATAAAGGATGACTTACTACTATTTGTAATATTTATTCCAAGTGTCTAGTAAAGTTTATTACAGGTACTTATCTGTTTATTAAATAGGAGAAATAGAAGGGAAAACAATTTTGAAACTTCAAAGTATATAAAAACAAATATATTTTACTCTAATTATAATAGTTTATCACAGTCCTAATTTACTTACTGCCATTTTAAAGTCTCAGAAGGAAGCACATGTATCATTTTTCTTTAACCATCTTCTAACTTTAAGAGAGGAAATAAGCAATAGAACTAATGAAGATACGATTTACTAAAGAAAGATTATGATGCATTTAGTCAAAATAGCTGAGTTAGTACCAAATGACATAGGCTATAGATTGAGCCTTAAGTGTGAAAAGCTCACAGGTCAGAAAGAAAAAGGAGTCAAAGAAATGACTTAATTATTTTTTTAAAAAGTGAAAATTAGAAAAATGTTGAGACCTCAAACAAGTAGAAGTGTGAGGATAAGCAGATTCCGATTCGGAAGAAGAAGGGTGACACCTGAATATATGTTATCACTTCTGCTTTCCATGTTGTGTAAGATGGAGATAGGGTGAATTGTAAACAAAGCTCTGTAATATGTTGGATATCTCTAAGCTCTGGGCTTTAAAATACTGTTAATCACTAAATTTAAGTTCTAATGTGAGCTAGCTGCTAAAGAAGAGCTCCTTCTTGTCCTTCTTTAAAAACTAGAGAAGACTGAAAAATCTAGCATATGAATAGAATGTCAGAGAGAGTTCAAAATAATTTGAATTCATAAATAATTTTCTAAGAAATTTATAATAATATTTTCTATTCTATTTAACAAGCTCTTAAAATATAAATAAAGGGTAAGTTTCAGATTGGCCATGCAGAATATTAATTCTGAATTAAAGCTGATACTTTACAGTAGACTTTAGTAGTATCCTTAAAGTAAATATTTCCATTAGATCATACAAATTATAGAGGTATTTACTGGTAAAGTATTCTAGTTTATAAATTGTCAAATTTTTTTCTTCTTTTAAAATTTTATTGATACATTTTAGGTATACAATATAATGACATTCATCATTGGAAATTTCCACCTTTACATAGTCTCTCTTGGTTCTTATTTTTTCCCCATTCCCCTGCCCTCCCTTCAACCTCTCCACAAATTTTTTGATGATACAGAACTTGGCTTTTATTGATTGAAAAAACACTAATATTTTTGTCTTGGGCAAAGACTAAAACAATTCATTTACATTTTATGCTTTTAATTTTAGGAACAAAGGTCAAGAAATGCATCATTCCACAAACAAAGAACTGATACTTGCCATCATGGTGGGAACTGCTGGTATCAGCTTGCTGGTTTTGTGGTATCAAAAGGTTCGTAAACCAAGGACAGCAATGAATTTGCGAACATTTTTTTCTCTGGGTAATACGTTTGATTCAACAACTTTGCAGGATAAAACACATAATGGCCAAGGAACAGCCGCAATCTTTCAGAGAAGGCAGCTTCAGATACTGGACAAGTTAAATGAATTGCTGGCAAATATGGAAGAACTCAAAGAGGAAATCAGATTTCTTAAAGAAACTATTCCAAAGCTAGAGGAATATATACAAGATGAACTTGGAGGGAAGATAACAGTTCATAGGATAAGTCCTCAGCACAGAGCTAGAAAAAGAAGGGCGACTGCAGTTCAAAACTCAGCAACAAGTAATAGTTCAGAGGAAGCAGAAAGTGAAGGAGGGTAAGTTTGCTTAAGATCTGTTCCCTGTCTAATTGATTATTTATTGCATTATTACTATTATGTAGGCCATCTCATTATGTATTTCCAGTCACATATTGTGATATTAACAAGACATGAAAAGAAATGATTATTATTATTTTTTAAGATTAGAAAAATTTATTGGGAAATAAGGATAGCTCTAGAGAGACAGGAGGGGTCCTGAATGGATTGCTGATGAGCCCACTTCTCTGAGAAAGTTTTATAGAGCAAAATCACAAGGTGGGTACAATGTGGATCAAAACTATAATAATTAGATTATAAGTAACGCCACTTGGCTAATAGTGATTCAATAGCAGCAAGAGCATATGAATGACATCATTAACCTTGGTCAATACTCTATATCTTAGTTTTGCCTTTAGTCTTAGTCTTAGTGGGTGAGAGAGGATGGTCCACCCCAATGAGATAATGGCTTATTTATATGGGAAATCTTAAAAGGGTGGTACCAATAATCTCAAGCTTGTATTTAGTCCTTTGGGAAGTATGTAAATCTGGTCATTGTGATTTTAATCTTCTTCAGATGTTCCTCCAGCCACAGTTTTGGTTTGTTCTCATCTTCTGCACTGACTGCCTCACGGGCCTAACCCTGTCCGACTGCCTACATAATATTTCTACTTAACTGTCTATAATATCATCCCCTCTGAAGAGGTATCCTTAATTATGGTTAAAGGAGAAGGGGCATAGTTTTCATCTAGCTGCTTCAAGGTGAGAAGGGTCTGTGTAGGAAAGATTGAAATTGGGGCCCTTCTCCAGAAAGCTAATCGAATGGACCTTGGGTAGAAATCATGTTGTAGTTTAGTAGTTATGAATTCCCTTCATAAGGTCGATCTAGTGGGTTCCAGTAAAAGGAGTCTGGCACATTTGTCTTTGGTTCCATCAGCATGATCGCTTGGAGTTTGGTAGCTTCTAGGCAAGAATAAACAAATTTTCCAAGAAATTAAAGCATGTATAAAAAAAAGCATGAACACTAGAACAGAAAGCTAGTTTGGGGAAAGGGCTACATCCAGACACTGCTTTTAAGGGACTGGAATAGTGATTGTAACCAGCTGGCTCTTAGACCCCTCTACTGATGGAGGTTATGTATAAGTCTGATATTTCTTGTCATAAGTCCCTCTAGTTTTAGCTGTAAGAAGATGGAGAATTTGGTGGTTTCGAAGGATAGTTTTAGCTAAGGAATTTAGAGACTCTTGTTGAATTTTTATAATTTCAACCATAGTATTTTTGGCCTCACTGAACCATAACAGTGGTCAGCTACTGGTGTAGTTGTAACCTGCCAGAAGGGGCCAGTGTTTGGGGCCCTTTTGTATTTAGCTTTTATTACTACATTATTGTTTTTATACATCTTTTGGTTATACTTTTCTACTCGGTGTTTACAACCAAGTTAAAGTAAGACTCCTGTTAATCAAAATTAACCTCCTGCTGTCTATCAAGGTCAGTTAAGTCTCCTCAGGCATTACTTTTGGAACCATATACAGAGCCTCTCAGCTCCTCTGTCAATGTCAGCCACCAGGCTAGGTCATAGTCTTGCTTGACCATGTTACTTTCTATGAAAGCATGGGAGACTTTTCCCTCTTTGGTGACCCTCTTTTTTGGCACACTGTACATTTGTTGATTCCTGTCTTCTAGGGTCCAGCAGTCTTCCTGCTCAGGAGTTTGGGTGACTCACCAAAGTTACAGGATCCTGTAGAAAAGGTTCCCTCATGTCCTAGGTCTTCAATGACCTTGGAGGGCCAGGGCCAAAATATTGGCTGTCTTCTTATGCCAGTTACTGTGTGTCATGGCTCATGTCTAGATGTCCCCCCGAAGCCTCATGCAGTCATAGGTGGGGCTTTTTCAGAGGTGGCTAGATCTAGAATGTGTGATGCTGGGATTGATTCATGGTGCAGTGCTAGGATCAAGGGCACTAGGATTAAGAGTGTGAGTGCTACCTGCCCTAAGTAGCCTAGATAAGATATAAGGGATAGAAAGAGCTGTGGTTGATCCTTGTTGCTTTGCTACTTTCTGCCTACCATGAACTCTTTCTGCATTACAATGCCTGTCTGCCATGCCACCCTGCCTTGAAGCCAGGCAATTATGGACTGAAACATTTACAAACTGTGAGCTAAATAAACCTTTCCTCCCTTAACTTGTGAGTATTTGGTATTTTGTCTCAAAAATGAGAAAAGTGACTAAGACACCTTTCTAGTTCTGGTCTCCAAACTTCAGTTGTTGAACATCCAGAAGAGAAGATCTCAGTACTGTAGTGGAAGCCGTGAGTTTAACTATTACAATCTCATCTGCATCTTAAGCACTTTGAAATATAGAATATAGCCAGAGGACTGTTATTTCTTACCAGTTATGGTTGTTTTAGACATTGAACCCCTACAGAATGTTAACAGACAAAAATTATAAAGTTTTACAGAGAAAACTTGAGATCAAGAGCAACACATAGTATTTCAGCATGACAATTATGATATTATCTTTGAAACACATTTAAATGTCTATCTTAATATAGAATAGCCTTTTTAATCAATCATTTCCATCTAGTACACAATTTGTTATCCTTTAATAGGATGTCATCGAATAAGCATTTGACATTCTCTAGACTGCTGAGTGCCTGAGCATCTCTAACTGTAGTGACACCTATATAACATACACATCACATAAGCTTTTTAAAAAAACTATCATTTGACTGTTGGTTTCCTGCTGGCATGAGATATACCTCTTATCACAAGTAGCAGGAGTATAAGAGAAAGGCAGACATCCGAGTCTAATATTTTTTTTCTTTTTTCTTTTTTTTTTTTTTGGTGCCAGGGATTGAACTCGGGTCCTTGCGCTTGCAAAGCAGGCAGCAGAACCACTGAGCTAAATCCCCAGCCCCATCTGAGTCTAAAAGAAAAGGCCATCACCATAAACAATCCTCATTTTATATTTTAGAATACCTGTACACTCAGAAGGCATTAATATGTTTACTCAGAAGACATGAAATTAGCAATAATGATTGTCATAGCTATATGGAACCTTTGTCTCTTAATTTAGTTTTGTATCAAGAGCATCTTTTAATAAGGAAACTTTATTGTTTTACCCACAGAAAACTTAACCTTTTGATGATAACCACTGTAAACATATTGCAATAATATGTTTAGCAGTGTTTCTTGGAGTGTGTCTCTCATAAGGCTACAGAAATTATTCGGGTCCCATTAGTGAGTAAAGACTGGAATAAATGTTTCCAGGCAGCTGCTTCTTTATTCACCAATGGGAGTCTAATCCAGCAGTTCCCCATGCTTATGGGGTCCTCATTTAATTATCTTAACAAATTTTTCAGATGACCTATGAGAACTAGATCATAACAATTAACACATTATTCTTGACCACTGAAACACTCCCAAGTTATTGTACACAGACAGCAATATGCAATGCATTTGTAAACCCAGTCTTGACATCATTTCAACCAGCTACCAACCTGGGTGGAAGCATGTTCTTAACTCTAATGACAGTTACCTATAAGCCAACTTAAGTTGTAGACATAAATATTTTAAAAATCAAACAAAGCAAAAGGAAGAAAAAGTTGTTGAGCTCAAATGAAACAGCTGTAGATGTTGGAACTGGTCACAAATTGAACAGACAGACAGGCACACATAAGACAATTGTTAACAGACTAGAATGCACTCATATATTTAACCATGTTGAATTAGAATAATCCTTTTATAGTTTTTAGGTTTGTAACTATAAATAGAGTAGTCAGATCTTTTTAGAGATCTCTTGTAATAAGAATCAGAAGGAATAAAAACATTTTACACCTGTGAAAGTGAACAGTTTTTAAGATGGACCCTAGGCTGATGGTTTATCTGACTGGAATATCCAACTATACAGGCTTCTCATTGTTGCTTTGATAGCCACAGTGACTTAATAGCCACAGCTGATAGCCAAAATTGCTGTTTTGATAGCCACGTGTAACTATTCCCTCCAAAGGAGCAGGCTGTTAAAGGTAATGTTAACTATTTCCAGGGTGGGTGCACAGGCCAGGTTTGGGTGTAGAAAGAGACTAGGTGGCATTCTTGGAGTTAAATATGTATTCCAAATAGTAGGGGAAGAAGCCTGCCAAGGCTCCAGTCTGCCCTGCTACAGATGTCTACCTATGACAGTTTTTTCCCATTTTGAAAAGAAATAAGGGGAAAGAAGATGTCCTTGTCTATCCTTTTTGGTGTGTGCCCAATCTAAGGTGTCCATCCAGTGCCAGCTGCAGTGAATTGGAAGTGGAAGAAAGTGGCCAGAGCTGGGTTAGCTGGGCTCTTACTGTCCAGCTGGACCCCTTCCTTGTGATCTTGTGACCCTTGGACCATACTTAGCCTCAGGATTTCCTCTTTTAGAACCTCAATTAGCATGTCTCTGAGAATGGTGGCTGGCCTGGCAAGATGTTCTGGAGAGAAATCATAACAAAAAAGAGGCAGTCCTATGGGGACTGAGGCTATGGCTATCCTTTAATACCTGTTTGTGTTACCTGTTGAAAAGTCTGTAGGAATTTAGCCGGTGAGGTGACATCTTTTAGTAAGGCATCTGTTTGTCTATTGAGGAGAAAAATCATTACTGAACTACAGTATATCATCTACATATTGCAGGACTGTGACTTGGGATAACTTAAAATAGGGCAAGTCATGGGACAGTACTTGTCCAAACAGTTGAGCAACATCTCTTAATGCAAAGAAAGTCTGAGCATATGGTAATTCTGACCACTTCCCCAGTACAACTCTAGTTGCAAAGTAGTATCATAATCAATACTTCCCTCTGCATTCTACTTTGTCTCTAGGGAGTAGGCAGGCCATGTGTGGGTGTAGAAGAATATTAAACCACTCATTCTCAATACATGAGAGTCAAACACATTCCGGTGCTTAAGACTACATTCCAACAGAGTAAGAGAATTTGACATTGAGTTTCCCAAAAACAAGAGAAAACAGGTATTCCTTTTAATCCCAACTTGGTTTTTA